CCATCAGTGGACTGAATGACTACAGACCTGTCACCCTGACATCTGTAGTTATGAAGTCCTTTGAAAGACTGGTGCTGGCCCACCTGAAGGACACCGTAGACCCCCTGCAGTTTGCCTACGAGGCAAACAGGTCAGTGGACAATGCAGTGAACATGGCACTGCATTACATCCTGCAACACCTGGACTCTCCAGGGGCGTACGTACGGGCCCTCTTTGTGGACTTCAGCTTGGCATTCAACACCATCATCCCGGATGTCCTCCACTTCAAACTGACCCAGTTCACTGTGCCTGACCCTACCTGTCAGTGGATTACTAGCTTTCTGACAGACAAGAAGCAGCAGGTGAGGCTGGAGAAAACCACATCCAGCACCCGGACAATAAGCACAGGCACCCCCCAGGGATGTGTGCTCCACCCTCTGCTGTTTTGACTCTACACCAATGACTGCATCTCGAAGGGCCCCTCTGTTAAGCTCCTAAAGTTTGCAGATGACACAACGGTCATTGATCTCATCTGAGACGATGACGAGTCAGCCTATAGACAGGAGGTTGAGCAGCTGGGCCTGGGGTGTAGCCGCAACAATTCCACTATCTCCCAGGACCTGAAGTGGACGTCCAACATCAGGACCATCATCAAGAAGGCACAGCAGAGGATGTACTTCCTACGCCAGCTCAGGAAGTTTGACCTGCCCCAGGAGCTGCTGATACAGTTCTACAGAGGAATCATCGAGTCTGTTCTCTGCACCTCCATCACTGTCTGGTTTGACTCAGCAACCAAACAGGACAAGTACAGACTTCAGCGGACAGTGAGGACTGCAGAAAAGGTCATTGGTGTGAGCCTGCCCTCCATGGAGGACCTGTACACAGCACGGGTCAAAAGGAGGGCAGAGAGGATCACTGCAGACCCCTCACACCCCTCACACAATCTGTTTGAACTCCTCCCCTCTGGACGGCGTTACAGGTCACTGTGCACCAAGACAACCAGGCACAGGGACAGTTACTTTCCCCAGGCTGTCACTCTGATGAACACTTAACCAACGACAGTATGACTGGACAATAACCCCCAGAGCAATACCTGTAAATATACCTTGTACAGATTATAGAGACTTGTACAGGTCTCTGGTTTTTAAGTACTCTGTTTTATCCCTATTTATCTCATTTCAATGAACATTCCTTTGTTGTCTGCATTGTTTACTGTCTGTTTATACAACTTTTTCTGCATTGTTTGCACTGGTTGCACTGGTTGTTGATGCTAATACTGCTTAATTACACAGCCTTATGCTGGTTTACTGTTTTGCACATTGAGAGCCGATGTACCAGAGTCTAATTCCTTGTGTGTCCGTCACACCTGGCCAATAAAGCTGATTCTGATTCTGAAAATTTTAAGGCAATACATCAAACATACTAATAATGCTACCATGTTACTGATCAGCAGGTATAATGATAATCATGTACACCATCTGAGTTTAGCATGTTAGCATGCAAAAGTGGTTTATGGTGTGAGTCTGTTTTGAGTCTCACTATACCTTCATGTAGGCTGAAAAGAAATTAAGCAGAGCAGCTTTAAAGGATCACCAAAAAGATTCATCATCTGGGGCTCAAGAAAATCTGTTCAAAATTTCATGGCAATCATTCTGGTAGTTGTTCAGATGGACAACAGATCCGCAGTGCAACTGTGGCCATATAAATACTAATTTTCATGAATGTATGAAAAAGAGAATCACACATCAGAAATTCCTTCTCATCTATAGTTATTCACAGCCTGCTCTGCTCTGGTGAGTGGGGACCATTAAGGACTCTGTTGGGCGGTGTGTTTGTGTGCCACCCTCAGAAGAGCACACTATCCTATGTTATCTCAGTATGGTACCCTGGCTGCTTTGTGGTAGAAAAGAACGCTCTGCACAAAAAGGAATAAAGTCAGCCCAAAAAGCATCGGTAGCAACCAGCCTACTACTGAACTGATGACATTCCATGCTCTTGCTGCCTTATTAGAGCAAGATGTAGTTAAAGATTTGTAACATCTGAGAACCCTTTTGTTTGATTTGCTGCCATCGGGCAGGCGCTACAGAGCTGTCGAAACACACACTACCAGGGACATCAATATGCTAAACACACTCAATTATAACAAATGCTAGGTGGTTGGAATTTTACTGTATTTTATTATGTACTGAATTTTACAGATTTTATTTCTGTAATTATTGCTCTTATGATGATTCTGTCCTTTATACCAAGGTGGAAAGTGATTTTTACTTTAATTACAGTGACAATAAAGTGGCAGATTTCTCCCTCCTGAGTGAAGCCACACTGGGACCGCTGGGTGCTGCAGCAGGTGATGGATCAATTTCCACACCTGAGATTTATGACACACTGGTCCGTGCCTTTCTGTAGTCGGAGCAAACAATTGCAGTGTAATTCTAGCCAAGGGCTTAGCCTGTGCATTGACAGGCTCTTTTGCTGGAATGAATAGTAGACACGACCTGTCCAGGGTGTACCCTGCCTTCGCCCGATTGCCGCCCAGGATTGGCTGCATGTCATACTGCTCTCTCCACCCTTTTTTCATCTCTAAATCTTTAATGACAACTGAACAGCACAAAATCACAGGTTTGTTTTAGAGGGCTTTATGATTTCTACACCATATGACTGTATCTCTCTCTTTTGACACAGTTTGAACAGGAATCCACACTGAGACAAAACAAAGACACACTTTAACCTGAGTGAGAACAGTAAAAAGCAACATAAATTTAACAACTCTCAGGTCAAAACCTTCTGCTTCAGACACAATTTTATGTTCCAGAACAAAAACATACTAAAAAAGCAAACAAACAAAAAACATTCAGCTGCAGTCCCGTGTGCAGCTTACCTGAGCTGAACCATGCTGTCCATCCTGTGTGGCCCTTTGGTCGTAGCTACCAGAAAAGGCAGCCTCAGAGCGGTTTTGGTGCCCCTGTGTCCTCCTGCTGCGAGTGGAGGGCGTACAGAGCTGGGGAGCAGGTATGTCTGGACCAAGGCTCTCTGAGGCCACGGCCCACTGATGCCCAAACCCGATCCGGTCCGGGGTGTAGCTCCAGCAGAGCCACTCATGGCGCTCTTAAGTCTGTATCCCACCTGGAGAATTTATCTGTAGATGCCTTCTGAGAGTTAAACTAGATTTATGCTGCCATACACACACAGCCCTGAGAATGACAGTGGATGGAACAGTAGGTAACGTTTCCCTGAAGTGGACCGCAAAGACCTGAGTGTATTCATCTCCAAACCCTGGGGGGTGAATGGAGAGGGGATTGTACAGCGGACACCATCAATGATGTATGTGTATTAATTATGCATGGCTGGAGCTGGCTGTGTGGACACCACCCACTTTACCTCCTGCCCCTCAGTTTTCAGACAGAGGAGAACGGACACAGTTACATCTACACATCCTGGGTGTGCAGATGTAGAGAGAGCTTCAGGGACAAAGCAACACCACTCCATGTTTATGCCTTTGGACTTGAAAACGTTGAACTCTGCATCACTGATGCTGACTAAAACTTTGGTTTTGTTTCAAATATGAAATGTCTAAAACCAATACCAGAAATATTTAGCATTGATGGAAAGTACTTCAAGCTCCATGTAAATGTACTTTGGTTTCACCATTTTTAAGAGCTGCAGAAAAAAAAATTCAGCTCCATTAAATTGTTTGACACAGAAAGGACTCAGAAAAAGGTGGAAGAAAAAAAAAAATCAAGGGAAACTTAACAAAGTGAGGCTTTATCCCACCAGAGCAGAAAAAAGTGCCACTGATTCATTACATTTCTGGAGCTCTACAACTGGGATGAACCACATTCTCTCATATTTCCTTGTGTTGTTTTGCTGATGAAGACTAATGACTCATCATTACACTGAAGCAAATCAGTGAGTGCTGGTCTGAAGGCATCACTGCATTTGTTGTTGAACCACTCGGGTTGTTCCCGTTGTCACCAGTCTGCGTATTTGGCCTCTAACAGCTCTCAGACTTGCACTGTTGCTGTACCAGGGTGCAACTCAGGTCGGCCAACACAAACCTGACCCACAGTCTACTCGTGCCTCCAGGCTCCTCAGGATCATCTTGCTCCCTGTGGGCTGGACCTCATCCAGGGCTGACAGCCAACCCTCAGGATACAACTGTGTCCCAGCAGCGGAAACTCTGCACCGTTACTCTTAATTATAAGTGGACTGGCCTGTGGGAGGTTCAGAGGAGAGGCACCAAGACCAGGCAGCAGGCGGGCTGTGACAGTTCGACTACTCAGAGGGGAGCTGGAGTATTCATCATGTTTTTCAATGTTAGTCTTTAAATATGAATGTATTCAAAGATACAATCTCTTTCAAAACTGTTAAGTCATAAAAACTGGTATTTCAATATAATAAATTTAAACTGCCTCTTCAATTATAAATGCACGAATGGGTGATTATTAGCAATTTAAGAAATACAATCAACAAAAATATCAGGTTTATATACTTTAATATTAAAACTGTAAGGGAAGAGAAGCTGCATCCTCGTCTGCTTGCAGGCTGTTTGTCCTCTGGTGATGCCTCCAGGTACTGCATCAACACCCGCAACCCTAAAAGCAACAAGTAGAAAAAGCTTTGGTGAGGATCGTTAGATAAAAGCTGGTTCTCTGGTCAAATCTGCCATCTCACATCTGAGCTTATGCAGCTCAGTTAGTTATTTTCTAGTATTAGTTTGTAGATTTCTTTACTTTAATGCTACAGCTCAGATATTTCAGATTTATGTGTGAATGACAGCGTGCAGGGGAACCAACATTGGAAGACATCCTGGTGTCACCACAGTACAGTGGCTGATTGTCCTGCAGCTCTGATATTTTATCCAACACCAGTCTTCATTTTACCTACAAAACAGGAAGAAAAATATAAGGTCCAACAGTTACACTAACCCACAAACACCTGGAAGACCTTAACTGTGAAAATGTTTGCTAGTGCCAGTGACTGTTTGGTAACAGACTGAATTAGCCTGAGTAGATGACGGGTTGTGTCGGGTGCAGGCAAAGAGGAGGGTGGTTCTGGGATGCTGGAACACACTGTTGGGCCTTCTCTGTCGTGGGCCCAATTCAGTGTTAGTAGTGAGAGGATCCCAACCTGATGGATGACCCTGTAGACTTGCCTTCACTCCTACACCCACACAGATCTTGTACTGGTATAGTTGCAGATTCACTGGAATTGTTAAGAATCTTCTTTTGTTAGACAATCTCAGCAGAACAGCGTCAGTGGTTTGACAACTGAGCGGACGCAGCTCTCAGAGGTGACTACCATTATAAGCCAGTTGGGCCAGCCACTGCTCAACCTGAGCAAATACAATGCAGATGCAGTGTCAAGCCACATACCTGCTCTTTGCTTGGGTGAAGACAGGGGCTCAGTGATGCTCTGTGTTAAGGGTGGATAATCGTGTTGCTTATTGTGTGGCTCTGAAGATTCATGACGGTTTGGCCAGACACCCCATTCTTTGAGGCCAGATAATGGGTAAACATCATTTAACTTGTATACCGAGCTTCCAAATGAATGCTCTGATTTTCTTTGGCACATTTTACTGAGTATTATTGACTGACGGGGGTCCAAAAGCATTTTTGGAATTTGTGAAGAAGACATGTTCAAGCTAAACTGGGGCGTTACGTTTCTCTTTGAGGAACACACAGTACTGGCTCTTCTTGAGATGTATAGTAATGCATAGTGTATCACACATACACACACACACACACACACACACACCTTAAAATAAATTTTATCTTTGGAACTAGAGTGACTAATTTCATTATAGCAATCACTGCAGATCTTACCATTGTTATTCCATGTGGATTCTCAGCCCACTTCCATCGGTCGAGGCTCCTGTGGCAAGAGACAAACAATGAGAGCCTGGTAGTGACCTGGACAGTAGCTTTCAACCATGTTGTTTGTTTTAAATACCATTACTGCTTATATGTTGCCACCAAAAGACAAAATGAGACTGTGACTATGTGTATAGTATGAGAGTCTTGTTTGTGTGTGAGTTTGTGTGAGCTACAGTATGACTGCAGAGATGTAAAAACAGGTTATGATGTTATAATGTCACCATGCATTACAAGTAGTAACTTGATGTATGTCATTGTGAGGCGTGGTACAAATATGTAGTAAGACCTGTGTGAAAATATACAGGCAGAGATACAGAAAGGCATCTCAGCACCCTGAAGTAGATTCCTTTGTTGTGAAACTGCAGAGGGGACGAGACAAATTCAGGACGACATTTAAATCGGTTACTATCCTCAGGGAAGGCAATTCTTTTGCAAAGCCATGTGAAGCTGGACTTCATACTGACACATCAGGGGTGCTACTGCAAAAACCAAGAGCTGGTAGCTGCATGTAACAGATGAGTAAACCTGGTACAGAAGGTGGTAATTTTCAGGGCAGACTTTGGACAGTGCCCTTTTAAAGGAGGCCATTAGAGGCCCAGGGGGTCATTCTGGCATCACACTCTGAGAAAGAATATACAAAATATAGATTTGGGCCAATCAGGATGGATCACAGTGCAGACAGATACATCATAACAGCCTCCAGGGCTTGATTCATGGTACTGGCTGAACAATGTAGTTTCCTCTTGATCTAAGCTCATCAGAGCGTGTGGCAACCATAAACTCCAGATAGCACCAGAGTCCTTTAAAACTACAAGACAACATGCAAGCATCAAAAAGAAATTGCCAAAGTCATGTACTGTAGCCTTTCAACATGGCTGGCTGGTCACTGGCATGACATGGTATTCAGGTGTAACAGGAAGTGACATGAGCAGTGAAGTAGTAAGAAGAGGGAGAAAAGGAAAGGAACTGGTCCAGTGCTGCTGAAAGGTTTTGTTGTCAGAAAATATCTAACACTTTCCCTCTGACAAACAGAAAGTGAAATAATCGGCAACTGGAGGTTAATACATTTTTGTGTGGTATGTTGCCCTATAACCCACTTCAGCCTAAAACCACTGGGTTGATCAAGGGCATAAAATTTGGAACTACAGCTCCCATGATGCACTGAAGAAGGTAAACAAAGTATGATGGTGCCACAGATTCAGAAAGCCAATTCATGCTTTCTATGTACAGAGGTAATGTAAATTTTTTTCTTGCGGACTCCATATGGAAGTCCAAGTGGAACTCAACATAAGTCCATGCAGGCTAACTGCAAGCGCCCCAGATGCACATTCACCAGACAAATAAGCTGAATACTTGATTTCTGCACCCGTATATAGTGTTTATTTCCAGTTATTGCTCATATTCTTGTTTAACAGTTGGTGTTCTTTTTAACTTTCATAGGTTTTCTAGTGTGTGTGTAGGAGGACTCGATTTATGCATACCCCAGATGGTATAGAAGCATGTCTGCACCTGCAGTCCATGAGCATCTGATGGTAAAGGGGCTTTAACGCTACTACTTGAGCCTTTGTATACATTTTGGTAAAGTGACACCATTAATGTAGCCAAATTAACTGTTAGCAGGGATGTACTGACACCTACCACTGGATTACTGAGAAAACCTAAAAAATGTGATACTTAGGCAGGTTCTGGGGTTATGAGCAGCTATTTTCTGACTTCTCAGCAAATTTCTGTGCATTTAACTGCAATGGACATTTAGAGATGTGCCATGCTGAAGAAGTGCAAGTCACACAGAATCTAAAAATACATGTTGGTGTGCGCAAATTTGACTCAGGATGCACACTGCGCCAATCTGGCACCAAGGATTTTACAATGTCTTACTTGCCATAATGAGCTGTGTCACAGCCACTGCTGCAGCTCTGTCTTACTACAATAACATCAGGTTTTTACCTCAAAGCCTGCTCGTTTCATTTCTGATTGAGCCGTTTGCTCAGTTTAAAGTCTGATTTGCTGATAATGAGGTGGTGAGGTGTCAGTCTCTGTGGCTGATGGTCGTATGACAATTAAAACCCTGCAACCAACATCTAAAATTAGGCTGTTTAAAGTGTTAAACTGAAGTAGCATCTATAGAGGTGATAAACATCATACTACATCAAATGAGCAAGCTAGTTAGCTGTAAAACTGTTTCAAATACATCCTTGTTTCATTTACAGGAAACTACTGAAAAAAATTGTGCACCCTTGTTTGTTCATTTTTGTAGTGTTTCCCTCCTCATACAAGCCTTGTCAGGTAAATATGGTGTCAAGGTAAGGCCATACGTGAGGGTGAAACACACTATGTAAACATCCAAAACACTACAAAGTTTAGAAGCCTTTACTCAACATACAGGTTGTATAAAAA